CAGAAGGAGTCGTTGCTTTTAAAATAATTCGATTTATATAGAGCTATGGAACATAGCCATGGCATGGAACAAACAAAAGTTGCCGTGCCTGCTCGCAGCAAATGTGAAACACAGAGAATGCTGTTTTGAATTTTATCTTCAGTTAAAATTTCTGCATTATCATCACTTGCTTCGGCATAAATGCAGAATAGCTCCGGTTCTACAAACAAAAAAAAAAAAAACATATGGGGATCGATAGAGAACATTGCGGTAAGTATAATGGTATATATTTTTTCGGAAACAACAACTACAAAAATTATTAAGGGTCAAAGTTCAAATTCTTCTTCTTATTTGGCGCTGTATCTATCCTTTGACTTTACAAAAATTTTTGCTTTTAAACGCTCTTTTGCATTGGCCAACGCAAAAGTTCTTATTAGTAAGCTTACCAGAATTTTTTTACATTCCTGGACGACAAATTCTCTACATTGAAATTTTTTCATATTTAACACATAAATAACGAATAAATTAACAATTCAATGTTTATCTAAACACAAGTGATACAAGTTAATAATACACCGCGTTGCATAATTATAAGACCCACATATTAAGAAGTTTTGACCATTTATTTTTAAACTATTTAATTGTCATTGTATTACTTCCAAAAGTCTATTGTTCTTCGGCTTTCGTCAAAGTTCGATTATAATTTTTAATAAACGCTATGCCTCGTTCAACAATATCATTAAAATATTTATTACTCTTAGTCGGCTCTAAGACAACGAATTTCACGATCATCTTTTAGAAAATTTAATGCTCTACAAAAATAATAATAATAATAATAGATTGGCGCTTACACATATGTTAGTGTTTGGCCGACCTTCTCCTCCGATTTGTGGCGTGCGCCCTGATGTTGTCCCATAAAGCGGAGGGACCTACAGTTTTACGCCGAAATGCACTCGGAGGTTTGCCATTGCCTGCCGAGGGACAACGCTGTTAAGAAAAAACATTTTTTCTATATTTTTTTGATATGTTGCTTTGACCAGGGCTTGAACAAGAATATGCCCAGAAAAAATTAGTATCCCTTTTTTATACCTTTTGTTAACGGTTGAAAGGTTATAATTTTTAATGAAAACAAATTTTTTACATGTTTTAATAATAATCCCAACGGTTTTTACCCTCCATTCCCGTCCATCCGCACGAGGGGCGCAGTCCGCATGACGTACGGAACCAATATTTTAAATTTTTGTGCCGAGTCGCGATAGGCAGGAGTTTGTTAAGTGTCGAGATCTAAAACTGTTCAGCTACAGAACTAAATTCATCAGCTGATTTTATGTATTTATGTCCATAATTCACTTATTGAGAGAGGAGAGTATCGCTTTCTTAATGCTGAAAAGCGGATCTGATATATCAAACGTGCTGGCGTGAGAGTTAAAATCCTGGCATAAGCAACGGAGTGGGTCGTGCAATTCAAAATTGGTTTTACAAGCTTTCAGAAATATGGGACAAAAGTGTCTTGATACGCGTGAGGGAACATTAAAGCTAACATCAGCCAGAAGAGACGGACTTGAAATTGAGCCTGTCAGTAATTTAACCATAAAAATTATACCAAGCATTTCCCTGCGACTGGCAAGAGTAGGAAGGTTAATAAGCTTTAAGCGACTCGTATAAGGTGGAAGACTATATTGAGAATCCCATCGGAAATTTCTTAAAGCAAAAAGTAGGAATTGTTTTTGAATTGATTCTATCTTGTCTGAGTAAATTTGATACCTTGGATTCCAAACCACCGAGCCGTATTCCAGAATCGGCCTAACTAATGTTGTAAACAGGGTTTTAGTGATATAAGGGTCACTAAATTCTTTTGACCATCGTTTCACAAATGCAAGTACACCTTTAGCCTTGATGACTGTCACATTAATGTGAAGATTAAAATTAAGCTTAGGATCCAATGTGATACCAAGGTCCACAAAATTGTATACCTGTTCCAGGTTATGGTTACCTATTATATAAGAAACTGGCAGAACAGCTCTTCGAGAGAAGCACATTACTTTACATTTCTTAAGATTTAGAGGCATAAGATTTACTTTACACCAGTAAGCCATGCTGTTTAAGTCTGATTGTAGCAAAGACCTTTCTTTAATTGAAACGTACGATTTATAAAGTTTTACATCATCTGCATACATTAAAATTTTGGAGAATTTTATATCTGTAGAAATATCGTTTATAAAAAGCAAGAATAGAATCGGGCCTAGGTGGCTACCCTTAGGGACTCCTGAAGTAACGTCAATGACGTCAGAGATAGTATTTTTAAACAATACCCTTTGTGATCTATCATAGAGGTATGAAGAGATCCAACGTAGAAATTTAGGTGGAAGACCAAGAAGATCAAGTTTATAGATGAGCAACGAGTGGCACACTTTGTCAAATGCTTTACTGAAATCAGTATATATAACATCAACAGTTTTGCTCTCACTAAATGCTTTTGAGATATAGGATGTTAATTCAAGTAAATTTGTAGAAGTTGATTTGCCCTTGCAAAATCCATGTTGACTTTATGAAATGCTTGAAGTGATAGAATGCGTCAACCGATTTGTTATAATTGCTTCAAATAATTTAGGAATTGCAGAAAGCTTAGCTATGCCCCGGTAGTTCTCCACTGAAGACCTGCTACCGCTTTTATGTAAGGGGGTTATGAACGATTCCTTCCATACAGTTGGAAAGACGCCCTCTTTAAGAGACAAATTAAATAAGGCTGTTAACGGCTCATAGAGATAATCAGCACAATTTCTAAGAAAACAAGTGGGGATCTGGTCAGGATCATAACTAAAAGACTGCTTTAAGGACTTCAGGTAAACTAAAACATCATCGGGAGATATTATAGGGTTATGTATTGAGTTAATTGGGCTTAGTTTAAAAGGATAGTCAAAGTATGCTTGGGAGTTAGTGGAATAATGGGATTTAAAAAACTGAGCGAACATGTTAGAAATTGTTTGATTATCACCAGAGACGGTATTTTGATACTTCATGGCGGAAGGAAACCCACGTACATTTCGCTTGGAGTTTACGAAATCATAAAATGATTTGGGGTTATATATTATACGTCGTTTGATTTTACACAAGTAATCTTTATAACACTTTTTGTTTAACTCAAAGAACTTGTGGTGCAAAAGTGAGTATTTTACATAGTATGAGTGTAAGCCGGTTTTTTTGTGTAAGCTAAAATAACGTGACTTTCTGTTTTTCAAATTTCTCAGTTCTTTAGTGAACCATAACTGTGTTTGTTCTTCAGGAACACACATGCGTTTAGGCACATACTTTTCAAATAATCTATGTACAGTAAAATTAAAATGTGCAACGCTTTGCTCAACTTTTTCTTTGTATATAGGCCACGACAATTTAGACAATTCTTTATTCAGTTTTTTAAAGTTGGCTTTCGAAAAATC